GGTGGGAGCCCCTCATAATGGGCACAGCGGGTGTACAGACCCAGGAACTCAGCACAGGGATGGTGGGAGCTCCTCATAATGGGCACAGCGGGTGTACAGACCCGGGAACTCAGCACAGAGATGGTGGGAGCCCCTCATAATGGGCACAGCGGGTGTACAGACCCAGGAACTCAGCACAGGGATGGTGGGAGCTCCTCATAATGGGCACAGCGGGTGTACAGACCCGGGAACTCAGCACAGGGATGGTGGGAGCCCCTCATAATGGGCACAGCAGGTAGGACACCAGCCAGATTGTCCTAAGTTGCTAAGAGCTGGGAGATGTTTATGGCCCTCGCACATCTCCCCACCCGAGTCTTGGCAATGCCAGAAAGTGGGTGGATTGCCCACTGCATACATTGTGCAGCAGAACGGCCATGACACTTTGCTTGCTGCCACCCGACGTGACCCAAAGAATTGCCCCTCAAGTCAACAGCCTCAGGCTACCTCATTATAGGGACATCCCTGGCCGCAGAGCACTATGCATTCAGATCCTTTCCTTCACCACGTCACACTTCTTTCACTGATTGGTTGCTAGGGAGGAAGGGGGGTGGCAGGCTGGCAAAGCCACATGGGAAGGTCTTCCTAGAGGCAAATCTTAGGCTGGCCATACACCGATCAACCCGCAGGCTGAACGAAAACAATGGACCTGATTCCTCTATGAACACAAACATACATGACAGACGCTGCCGATCAGAGCGGCCAGCTCATTGGCTGGCGGCTCTGATTGATTGAACATTTTCCAGCCGGCTCCTTCCATCAGCTGAAAGGGGAGCCGACAGCCCCGCACACCGTGTGCAAATATCAGCTGGTACATTATGAACCGTCCGACATTCGAGCATGGGTGTATGGGCACCAACCACATTTCCCCTAAGCAGCCATCTGAGCCGACCTGTGACAGTCTCATTGTAACAGGTCGGCTAGAACTATGAGGTGAGTGAAAATTACGCCCCCCCCTCCCCCCCCTCATAGTTCTCCTTTAAGCCCAAATCACTGCGATCACCTCTAATGCTGTCCGATCCGGAATCTCATCTGCTGGAGGAGTCCGGCCTTTTGTATCGTTGGCTTGAAGAGAGCTCCTTTTTTTTTTTCCCTCAGCAAGGGTCACATGTCACATCTGCGTAGGGATTCCCCGAGCTTGTCAATGAAAGGCTTGGGAAGGGCGTATTTACGTTAATCCGCCTGAATAGATTGCGAGCTCTTTGTGGCAGGAACCGGCAGCGTGTGTCTGGTTTTTTTGGCCGCTTATTACATAAAATGTGTCTTGACTCGATGATTTGATTGATTATGATGGGGCCCTAATCTCCTCCCGACACGCTATGAGGACATTGACGTGACACGGCCTGTACTTCATCATCCATGAAACAAGTGCGTCTGCTGGCAGCCAACACGGACGGTGTTATGTAACGCGGCTGGTTCATTTCTTCTCCACGGCTGTAGGGATCGGGTGCTTTTTGAAGCTGAAACGCAAGACGCTTTCAGGACCCGTTCACACCAGTCGCAGTGCGTCCCGGCCCGATTCTGGCCGGAACGCACTGCCTCGCATTGCGGCCGGATCACTTTTTAGTGGGGCAGGAGGGAGCGTGGCGGCCCATTGAAGTGAATGGCACCGTAGCCACGCCCTTCCGGCCGCAATGCGATCGCAAGGCACATTGTGGCTGCGGTCCGGTGCGATCAAAATACTGCAAGCGCTATTTTGATTGCACCGGACCAGACCGCAGGCACAAATGTGCGGGCGATGGCATTGCAGCCGGAGGGCGTGGCTACGGTGGCCCGCCACCCCCTCCTGCCCGCAAACAACTACGCAATCGCACCTACTGTTCATTCTGATGGAGGACGTGCTGGAGATGCGCTGCGTTGCTATTCATTTAAATGGCACCCTAAACGCACCTCCTCCTGCCCACACTTTGATCGATTGCACCGGAGCATGCTGGTACCGCAATGCCGTGCGTTCCAGGGCGGTGCGACTTAATGACCGAGGACAAATGTGGATCCCGAGGTTACTCAGGTTGAGAACCTCTGTGCACAGATTTATGAATGTTAATGTTACTCGTTTGAACAAGCATTCATTGAGCTTTAAGAAAAATAACCCCTGGCCTCTGCAGCTGCAGGCGCTGTGGAAATATTCATCCTCAAGGTTTACAAAGGAAGCTCTGAAATGATGGCTACTCTCCCCTTCTGTTTGCAGGAGAGATTTGGCAGACTGACGGTCTCTGTCTCCCCCTGGGGCATCCCTACAACTTTCACCTCCTGAGGTGCAGGGGGGGGGAGGGGTTGCTGGCATTGCACATTACCAGGGTGGTGTAATTGGCAGTGCATGTTACCAGGGAAGGGGTGTTGTATGGTATCCCGCCAAGGTCACTGGTTGCTCTGACAGATATCTCGCTCACCTCCTGGCATCCAGTGATATCAGTGAGCTGCGCAGGATGCCGGCCAGAGCGTCACGGGTTGCTAAGAGCCCTCTTAGTAATTTGGGATGTTCTAGCCGGAATGGGGGCGGTATGCACATCTGCCGCCACCCACTGAGATGCTGCCTGAGGCAACTGCATGATTATAGGGACAGCCCTGGTCTCTGTGATCCTTGAGAATGAATTGCTTCATCATTCCTGCAGCCAGAGAGGTCAGTGATGGTGTTGTTTTTCCCCATCTCTGGGCAAAACATGACCCCCCCCCCCCCCCCGCGCACCCCCACCCTTAT